GAACTGAAACCGAAACCAAAAACAAAAACAAAACAAATCAAACTTTGACACTAAAACTGTGAAACATAAATCGTCAATCTCAAACACTTAAATCCTGGAGTCATCGCTACAACATGAGGTTCAGAGCTAAATTTGTGGGTAGCACGGCGAGGAATTTGGACCGAGCAGCAAGAGGATCTTCTTCAACAACCTCTCTCTTTAGTTTAACAATAGCAACCCATAAGACTTTGTGGTAGCTCGCCCAGCGTGACGTAAATCCTTGCACCCTCTTTAGGCACATGTGCAACCATATTGTGCAGTGTAAGTCTTAATTCACTTTAGGTTCTGAAGTTGTCGTTCGTTAGGACGTAAACCCACATCTCTTTGCGAGCTATTTGTATAATGGGGTATTATGCAAATGTAAATCTCAAATAATAAAATTGGTAAGATTGAACAATTGAATAACATTATCTCCAAAATGCAGCCACACAGTAGGATAGTTTGGGAAGTCACTGATGGTTCTCCTCATGGTCTATGACGTCCCCTACCTTTTCCTTACTTTGAACTCTTGAAGATAAATGTTCCTACTTGAGCCACTTCCACTTGTTTTTCCACGTCCTACCGTGAAAATCTAAACTTTGAATTATTGAAGACTAGTACCTCCGATCATTTTTGAGAGTTTTCTCAAGTGACCCTTGTCATTTGGGATGTAATTAACTGTAGGGGTTTGCCTCTATAGGTAACTTGAAACCCAGATAAAATAAATCCTACTTAACCTCTATATTATATAGAGGAACTTGTCAGTCACATATAAAAGGTTCGCAGACCAAACGGATATCATAAATCTCTTAGTTTGCAGGATTGGGTTCATCATCGTGATATACACTTATCTTTCGGGAAAGCGCAACATTCGCGGTATCGGGCACGATTATGAAAACCATTAGACTAATGAGATTCATTTGGTCTAATTTTTCGAAAATTAAAATACCCTACTTTGAAATCATAACTATATACCTCTTATATTAAATTAAATTTCAAAATTATTTTCAATTTTCAAAAAAAAAAAAAAAAAATTTGACCGATAGCATCATAATTCTAGTGTATGAAAGAGGAGCATTATAAATCTCAATGTCCCTCGCATTATTGAGCCAGGATTATTCGGGATCAATTTTATATAATGGATGGACTAATACAAAGAAATATTATACTCTTTAGACTAAATTGGTCATATTTGAATAATCACGGTTCTTTTTTGAGCATTTTCCTGATAATAGATGCACCAATTGTAATACGTATATGGTTTAGATATTGTATTCCTTAAATGTTCCTGAAATGACCACCATTAAAGCCAACTCTTATAATTCTCCCGAGAGGAATTATAATGATGTGTGGTTAGTAGACTCCCGAGGAAAAATTTTACCAAAAGCTATGTGATAATTATTTCTACCGAGAGCTTTGCTTTTTATAATAGAATGTTTCTGCATGGATAATTTTATTTATGTGTTTTGTGGAGAAGACTTTTGAGACTTTAATATATTTCAAAAATTGCATTTCCCCCTTTTCAAACTTTTATAAATAGCTTATATGGTTTTCAATTGTTAATCCCGCCCTTTAATCCAGGTATTCTCATTATCTTTGTGGATTTACTGGGAGATGAATCCAAGTATACAATGATGTTTTTCTACAATGAGTCTAATATGTCTTGATGCAATTCAGATGAGTTATAGCCTACATTAGATTAGCTAAAATTAAATGAGAACCATCCCATTTTGCTACATAGAGCTTGTGGGTATAAGTATTGGTGCTAAAATTTGGAGCTCTCCTTATATGGATTTCGCTCTGAGATTATTCTTGGAGTTTGAAGTATTTTTTATCAGAATAAGCTCAACCTGTGACAAAAAAATGTTCCAGTTGCGTAAGGACAATCTTAACTTGCAAATTTATTATCATCCTAAGAAGGAGAATGTTTTTGATTCGTTGTGCAGGAAGAATTCTCTTTAGCGCCAATCAATGGCGAGTTAAGAATAGTAGTTTCTCAGCAAAATGGATTAGATCAACTAAATATAAGCTCAAAAAGAAGATACATGTTAGTTAAGAAGACGTAGAGCAAAAAACGAAGATAGTCGAATGGATTTTCATGTTGATAGTTGAGAAGCACTTCTATTGGAAGGCTGTGTTTGTGTACCAAATAACAAGGACCTTAAAGATCATTTTTGAAGAAGAACATAAACCTAATTACATCGCTCATCCTGGAATGCACATGTATCAAGATTGGAAGAGACTTTTTGGTGGCTAGGCTTGCAGATACATGTGTCGATAAACACAATTTCATAAAAGAGTGACTAAACGATAAAATTTCCAAAACCGAGAAACTACACATTAACATATATACAAATGTATAAACATAAATCCAAAAATATTGCATTTACCATATAATCAACCTTTAACTACATTACAAATCTACCATATGTATGCATATGTGCACCTGAAAGTGCATCATAAGGTTGCTCGCAAAATTTTTTTCAGGACTATCTATTTTGTTGGTGATTTTCTAAAATAAACAATCATCGACATATAGGGCTGACTTATATAAAAATGTTCAAGCTATTGGGCACATAAAAATTTTAAATAACAGTAAACACAATCGAAAGAAAAACATTAAGCACGCTTAACATTTATAATTTTAGGAATTTATGAGTAATTATGGCATTTTACATAATATCAATTTATATCATAGATTGTCGAGTGGTCATAATAGTTGTCATAATATATGATTTCATATACAAAATCATAGCATTTTAGCATCATCCTCATCATGGATCATAGCATAATGTAACATGGTTTTTTATTACATTTAGCATCGAGTGATATATTTTGAATTGCAAGTTAAATAATTCTATCTTTAATCTCAGGAGCCTTATATCTTGGCATAAACTTATTTTCATTGATCAATATTTCTTTATCGGCACAGCTGGGTATAGCTTATATGTTTATAATTCTCAGTGATGGCCAAGTCATTAATGCATGGGTTTATTAGTATATTCAAGTGTTTTCTTTTCATACATCCTTTCATGCAATGAATTTAGCTGAAAGAGTTTTTGACTTGGATTGATATTTTGTAATCATGGCAAAAACGTATAATTTAAGATCATAAGCATAGCAATAGAATGATAGCTAGAACCAAAGATATGATAGTAGCACGACATTTAAAAACATGGACATAATTGTAAAATGAATTGGAATTTATGGTCATAATAGATATATGACTTTCAGAATCAAAGATTTTAAAATATTAGTTTTGGAGTCATAAATATGATGATAGCATAGAATATTGGAAAGACGACCATAGAAATGGCATAGCATTTAGAAATTAAGAGACTATAAATGAGCTTGAATACAGCATCATTGCAATTGCAAAATATTTGAAAATCATGTACATGAATTAGAAAGTTCCCATGTCATTTATGAAATTTTAAGGTAGTGTAGTTCTACATATATGTAATAGTATATTAGAAAATGGCTCTCCACATTAGGAAGAAATTTATTTCCTTTTCTCAGAATACATTTCACTAATTGTATTTCCTTTATTAGATATTTTCCTTTTTTTTATAGGGATTCCTATTTTGTTTCCTTTCAGTATTATATATATGTAGCAAAGTATAATATATGGATTAGGGCGAGAAATAAAATTATTTTCCATAATTCTACATATTATCAGAGCTTGCCTCGATCTTGCGCGCACACAATATAATCATTATTCAAATGGCGGCTCCGTCTCTCGCGTATGCACGAGCAGCAGCGAACCTCGTGATACAGTCGTGATAGTTGGGAAGGCAACAATAGGATCACTGCATACAAAGATGTTCGCTCTCCTGTTCCGTTTGAAGACCAATTCCGCTGTCTCATTCCTTTTGAAGTCTTCCTCCATATTTCCCTCGGTGCCACAGTTCCGGATGAAAGCAATGTGTTTTCTTGACTTCGTCGGTCACCTATATAGAGTTACGGGCCGCCTTGATGGCTAGCTGCTTCCTTGGAGTCCTTCCGCCAGTCGATTTGCTCGCGGCTTGCTTTGCCTGAGCCATTGCGATCCGGCTCTAAGGAGCTTCTCAAAAGCCAGCCGTGACTATTGTGTTTCCTTAGCCTCACACGGAGAAATTCTTCTCCCACTTCTCACTTTAGGGAGTAAATCTTGCTCGAAAGTTACGGAAACTCGTCGACCTTGTTGGCTTATTGTTATGTTCTTTTCGCTGCAGCTATCAATCGACAAAGAGGAGAACAATTCTCGATCTCTTCCAATCATGATCCATCTCACGAGTCTCCTATTTGCAAGGGGCCCAGATCTCTCGTCAGGGTCCTCTTGTAGAAACTGAGAACCGCGTACCTCCCTCTAGTTTTTGTTAGCTCGTCCAGTCGAACAGTCAAACAAATGACTCTCTTTCGTTCATATATCCAATTTTCTCGAGTTGAGCTTCATAATCTTATCATGGTGAAACACTGCATGACCTCACAATCTTCTTTCTTGGAAATTACATCCAGATCCGAGCCTAGATCTTCAATGTCTATCATATCTTCCAACAACAATTTAGAATTCAATTGCTTTACTAACGAGCAAATTGAGACACTACTTAAAAGGTTCTGTAATAGTTCTATTTCGGGATAAGCATCCCAATCCTCTGCCGAGCAACCTATTAGTTGTTAGTCCGTCTAGGTATCTTATCACATGCTTTTAGCATCGAAAGCAATAAATTAAAATATTGAATAGTTGACTCCGGAGCATCAAATCATATGACGTGAGACATCATGTTAACCATTGCAACCCATGTATCAGTCGCTCTTTAGTTTGAATAGTTGATGGTTCATTCTCACCAGTGGTAGAAATTGAATCAGTCGAATCAAAGGATTTTCACCTCTAATATGTGCTTTATGTTGCAAAATTAAATTACAACCTACTCTGAATCAACAAACTTTCTCATGGCCTAAAATGTGTGACTAACTTTTATTCAAATTGTTATGATTTTCAGGTTATGGATTTGGGGAAGGTGATTGACAATTCTGAGATGCATGATAGTCTATACTTGCTCAAAGAAAATAACTTTATTGGTAGGCAATATTATATGTCAAGTTATATTTCTCAGTCTAGTTCAAATTTTGCTTCAGTTGAAAGTTAATTCATGTTAAGTCATTGTTGTCGCGGTCATCCAAATTTTTTATACATGGAAAATATATTTTCACATTTATTTATCACTAAAAAAATACAATCTTTATTAATGTGGAACTCATTAGCTTATAAAATATACCAGACATGTATATCCCAAATTGTGAGACAAGTCTTCACATCCTTTCTTTCTATAATTCAATGTTATATTTTGGGATCCTCGCAAGTAAATAATATAAATAGAGCATGATAGATTGTATCATTTATAGATGATCACACAAGAATAACTTAGGCATTACTTATGAAAGAAAAATTATAAACAACCACCATATTTCAATACTTTTATTTTATGATTCTCACTCAATTACAAACTGAAATTCAATTCATTAAGTTGATAATGCTAAGAAATATTTTAATTTCATCGTTAGTCTTTATATTTTCTAGTATAGTATTATTCATTTAAGTTCTTGTGTGGATACTCCTAAGCAAAATGGTGTCACGAAATGGAAAAGTAAACGCTCACTTGAGGTGGCCTATGACATTTTGTTGCTTGATCATGTGCCTAAATATTTTTTGGGGAACCATCCTCACAGCCACATACCTCATCAGTAGGATGTCTACTCAAGTTTTAAATTTTAAATTCTATGTAATGTTCTCTTGGAATCTTAACCACACATTCACTCTTTTTTTAACTTACTATTGAAGGGTTTTGTTTGTCCTGCTTTGTTAACATCCATCAAAAACATCGCACCAAACTTGATTCCAAGTCTCTCAAATGCATTTTTCTTGGTTACTCATCCAATCAAAAAAGGTACAAATGCTGCTCTCCACCTTACACAGGTGCAACGAACCAGGCGTAAAGGAGTAGACACAAAATTGCATGCCAGACGAGGGAACGTCTTGGACCGAGCGGCTCTCGCATTTTGCCTGGACCTAACCGGTCCAGGTTTTCCTTCATTTGAGGAGTTGATTGGTCCTCCTGGACCACTTAGCTATCCTCTTATTATATATTTGCATTCTTGATAGTTTTAGAATTAGGTTTTGCTTGAGTTTGTTTGAGACTGTTGTCGGCATCTTTGTTTCCCATCTAGGGTTGTATCTGAGAGTTCGAGTGGTGCTCTAGATGTATATTGTTCTTAAGGTGGTTATTACCTTTCCTATCCCTTTTTGTTTCCTCCTCACATCGCTCCCAACAACCCCGTCTCTGCTACAACTGCCCAGAACAACAGCTATTGTTGCTTTTCCTTGCAACTACCCATTCCAGCCACCTCCCTTCCTTCCCAGCCTCGTTGCCACCCCGCACAGCCTCCATCACCCTTCCCCAACCTTTCTGCATCCCTCTTAATCGTCGTTCCTTATTGCCTCCATATGGAAAACAGTAAATCTGTTGTTTTCTGCTGTCCAGCCACCCCAAAATAACAAATTTCCGCTATTTGGACTATCATCCCTTGTTGTCCTATTGTTCCAGCTGCCCATAATCGTTGTTGCCTCTCACCCACAGCCTGGACCTTGCCGCCAACTCTCCAAACCCCCTATTCGTCATCACCACCACCCAAGAACCGCCCTAGCGAGCGTTTGTGTTGTGTGTGTTGTAATTTTCCTTTAAGTGTGTTTAATTTTTACTGCCTATTTTCTTTTAGTAATAATGTGTTTTTCCTCTTGTGGTTTGGGTTTACACTGGTATCATTTGGTATCCGAGCTAGTTTATCCCTAGTCCTATCCTAGGGTTTCTAGTATCTGTCATATCTAAACCTATCTCCAGTTCCTTTCCCACCAAAAAAATTGTTCCCCTCCTTTTCTATTCATACCATCTTTACACCCTACAACCACCCCTACCTACATCCCAAACCCTAATCTCATAGCTGAAGAAAAAATTGTGGAGGACCGAAATTGGAGGAAATGCCACAATGCTGTCTGTGAGAAATTTGTAAAGGCATGTCCGAAAACCATCTATGGAAGATTTGTGGCGGGAAATCCCCCAACTGCAATAGATATTTGTTGAATTCAAGTGGAGACAATCCAGAAGGGTCACCTGTAGCTACAACGATGATTTGTCAGATCAAAGGATGTTGACCTCATTTTTGAGGTCATTTCCTTTTCTAGGGTCTTAGGATCTAGCTCGAGGAGTTCCTATTGACCATCTTAGAAAACTAGAATTGAGACTCACCCTTTTAGAAATTCCAACCACTTTTTATTTTTCTTTGATGTCTAGCATTTTTGGCACAAGACCATCGTCTTATGAACGGGCGGTTATGGGTTATTTTGTGAAGACTCAAGGGAAAAGTTCCTAATAGGACTCCAAGCCTTAGGAAAACTTCGTCACGACTTTTCGTCACATACACACACCAGATGCACAAAATTGCACGAAATCGTACTTCAATTAAGCTCAGAGGACGGATGAAAATGCGAACTTCTCCGAATGATCTCGGACGAAATTTATGAGAAGACATGGTTGGACCGCGCCAACGCGTCCGAGAC